TTGGTTTTCCATTGGTCACACACCCGGCTTCTCTCTGGCTTTGCCCACCCTCTCTTCAGGTCCTCTTCTGGGGTGTCCGCGAAATGAAAAAGGTGCAGCTGCTCTCTGTGGACCGGCCACAGGTCCTCATTGAATGCGGGGGACGAGGCGTGAAGTCTTGTGTGATCCAGAGTTACAAGAACAACCCCAACTTCAGCGTGCAGGCAGAGGCCTTTGACGTGGTATGGGCTTCTCCTCCGCATCTACGCAGCCCCCTTTCCACAGCTGGGCTCCTCACCATCAAGATTCCAGGTGTATACCATCTGAACGAGTAGCCTGATTACAGAAAGCCAGGCTTTCAGAATGAGGAAAAGTAGATGCTTGTTCGAATGTTCAGGTCTGGATCTGCCGATACAGCAGAGAAAGCTAGAGAATGTTTGCCTACCAGAGCAGAGTCCTTTGAAGGAGAGCCCCCAACTCATCCACACCCGCACAGTCTCTGCTAGACCTCATGACTCAGGCCTGACATCCCACCTACTCAGGAAACTGAAGCAGAAGAGACACAAGTTCAAGTCCTGGTCAGGCTACAAGGAGGGTTCCAGACTAGCCTGGGCAACTTAGTGAGACCTTGTCCTAAAAGAGAAAAGGAAAGATGGCTGGAGATGTCTCCCGGTGGCCTGGTGCTTGCCTAGCATCTGTGATACCTAGTACCCATGCCCATACATGCCCAAAAAGAAAGAAGTATACAACATCAGGCCTAGCCTAGTCTACCAAGAGAAGATGTGTTTAGCCACAGACCTCTTTGGTTTAACAAGCCCTCCAATTGCTTCTGAGAACTTCTGACTACAAGAAGCTCTATAGAAACTTACTTTGATGGCCACATTTAAATAATGTCCCTTGTGTTTCAAATGTCAGTGGTTGTCATATGTAAAGTAGGAATGGGGTTGGGTGTCTATTGAAGACGGGGTTTGAATGAGTTCACCAGACCCAAGATAAATGATGAATAATTATTTGTTAGGGAAGCACTTACACAGATAAGAGTAAATAACCGCCTTGGTCTTCCAGCTCTAGAAGATGCAGTCTCTGCCCTTCCAATGCTCTCCACAACCCAAGAGAGCTTGAGTCAGTCCCTCCTCTACCTTATAATGGGTCACATCTGCACCTGAAACCATGCCCAAAGGGTGTGGCCACCAGTACAAGTTCGCTGACAAGGCAAAATGCCACTATAAGGGAGATATTTTACAATGGAAATCTTTTAGGGATTTGTACCCATAATGAATTGTTACTAGAACATATCCATCGTAGTTTTAGTGGTCATTTCCTGGCTTGGGAAGACAGTCCCCCAGAGTTTGGGCAAGCTGCCGAGCTGTTCTGGGGTCTAGAAGGTCAAGGCAGAGAGAAGAGAGGTGGACGTCCAGGTGTGCCCCCCGTAGGTGGGTCTGCAGGGCTGCAGCAGGCAGAGTCACCCAGGCAGTGGCTTTCCCTCACCTCTCCTGCAGGAGCTGCCTGAGAATGAGCTCCTGCACCCACCATTGAGCATCTGCGTGGTTGACTGGAGAGCCTTCGGGAGGAGCACCCTGGTGGGCACCTACACCATCAACTGCTTGAAGCAGTTTCTGTGTAAATCCAGAGAGACCCTTGCCCTCGCCTCACAGACGGACAGAGCCTGGACAGAGCCAGGTAGGAAGGGCATCCTAGAGTCCAGAGTGAACAGGGCTGTAGAGTCAGGGTGCCTGTGTGTATGTACATGGTATCTGCCTCAAAGAATTCTCAAGTGGAGCCTTTCTGGTGAGTTTACATCTTTATCCTCTCATGTCAGAACCAAGTCCTCCACTGAGACATCTTTGAATGTTCCTTAGACTCCTCTGCCCGGCCCCCATGCTCTGCCATTTTTTCTCAGCTTCATATTCGGTATTCTAATCTGTTCCACTTTTGGTTCTCAGGTGTTCAGAGTTAATTACACCCCTCAGCTCTGTGCTGAAGCATCTTCATTGATATACTCAAATCTGTCCTGTCCACTCTCCTCCTATGCGTGTCCTCCAGACCCTCCCCAGTACAGAACTCCCGTCAGCACTGCTGTAAGACTTAATGAATGAGTGTGTGTGTGTCCGTGTGTGTGCTCCCCCCCCCCCGTGCAGATATACACATACAAGGATAACACTCATGGCGGTCAGAAAGAAAAAGGCATCAGAGCCTTGGAGCTGGACTTACAGGTAGGTGGTCGTGAGCCGCTCAGTGTGGGTGCCAGGAACCTAACTCCGGTTCTTTGCAAAAGCAGTAAGCACTCTGAATTGACTAGCCGTTTTTTCCAGCCCCTCTTGTAAATTTAAGCACGCTTGTTCTATATACGTGATATGGTGTTATAACATTTTTTGGCTCTTTTCACTCAATGCTACATCCTAATAACTATCCACATTGCCATGTACTCATTAGTTTATTATGACTACCCACTGCGTCTACTGTATTTCCCTTCTTCCTCTCCTTTTGAACCAGACTGGACTCCTAGGTTGTTCACAACTCTCTGCTTTCACCAACCGTCCTGTGATGAAGACACCTGTGTGTGTTTCCCAAGGGACGATGCCGTGTGGGAATTTCTCCCGCCTATTTATCCAGGAATGAGACTACTGGTCTCAGGGAATGTGCACATGAAATTGTACTGAGTGAAGACAGAGGGCGCTCTGGAGCACTGTGCTGATTTACACCCCTCCGCATCTCTCCCATGACTACACTGGAGCCCCCCCCGCCCCCCGCCTCTTTCTGCACTCTCCTCTCTAGCCTCCTCCTCTTCACTTCCTACTATCCAATCTTGGAGGGTTGGATTTTGCTTTGTTTGGTTATCGGAGGTTGGCTATTCTGTGGGTATCCATTTCAGCCTGGGTGTCTGTGTCTAACACAGAGCAGACGCCTATGAGAATTTGCTGGATTAACTTTGCTGGTGAAAGTCATACCCAGGGGCATGAGAACCTCTGAAGGCCTTGGCAACCGTGAAAACTCCAGACTCAGAAACACCCATCAGTGCCGAGTTGTACAACGTGAAATGCAGAGGACAGTTGGCAACTCTAAACACGTGTTATGACCCTTAGTGACATCACCGGCCCAGTTAGAATCTCACAGAGTCCAAGCATATAACTGCTTTCTGCTAAGCGCATGTGATCATGTGCCCAGTGTACTGCCTTCGCTTGGGGGTTCACTGACGTCTGAAACCTCAAAATATTTTTAGATTTACTCACTGGGGAGTGGGGGACAGTCAAACAGAGGAGCCGTGCCCTAAACCTTGGCTGTCATGATCCTAGTGCCCACAGTTTCTCTAAGCCATAAATAATTTCTATTGCCACTTATTGATTACCTATTGTACAATAGATGCCATACATCATGGTCTCATTTTATCCCCCAGGAAAGTTGTTACTGTCATCCTGGAAATAAGGAAAAGGAGGTTCAGAAATGTCAAGAACTTGCCCCATTTGAATCGTGATAACAGCTGTGTCCCTTGACTAACTAATGGGCTTTCCTGCAGCCATTTCAGATGCACAAGCAGACATCGAGCCTTCTGGACCCAGCTCCTCCCAGGATCCCCCAGCAGATCACATCTATGTGGATGTTGAGCCTCCTCCCACAATGGTACCCGACTCTGCCCAGCCCCAGACAGCCACCCTGGTCGACATCCCTGACTCCTCTCCAATGCTGGAGCCCGAGCGCAAACCTGTATCCCAGGAACCACCAAAGGATGGGAAAGGCAAGGTAGGTCCCTCCTCTTGGCCAGGCTCGGTGGAGTTTGCACTGGAAAATAGAGACTAGCTATGTGAACTTGAGACAGCAACTTCATAATTCTGGTTATCAGTTTTCTCATTCACAATGAAGGTATTGATGCCCACCTCCAAGTACTATTAGAAGATTGGAAAGTCATTGTGTATGAAATTAAAGTGCTAGTCAGATGTGACAGTAATGTTTAATGGGACAGAAACTCTTCTAAATTCATTAGCTTGGAAAGGCAAGGGTTTCTGCTTCCAGAACTACTGCACAAACATTTAGAACCTCCTTTGCACAAGGTCAGACATGGCCAATATGTGTCCTTTGAATTCTAAAGAGGAGAACGACTCTTCATACGCAGTTACGTGGCTTTGGGGAGGTGTCTACTGCCATAGCAGCCAGAACACGGCTGGTCACTGACCTCAGAACTGAGCAGGGTTGGTCCTGGTTAGAATGTGGTGGGAGTTTCTAAGGATGGAGAGGACCACAGAGAATGAAGATGCTGTCAGTCTTCTGAAGTCACAGGTTTAATTTCAAACCCCAAGATCATTTTTAACTTTTCCTTGTCAACTGTAACGATACACATTTGTAATCCCAGCACTCAGAAGGCTGAGATGAGATGATCATAAATTCAAAGCAATTCTGGCTACTGAGTTAAATCCTGTCTCAAAATTAAAGAAAGAAAATCCTAAGGAGTTTCTTTCCCAGTAAATAGTGAAACCTGGAATGCAAAAGCAAGTATGCCATGATGATGGACATTTTTCTCAGGGTGTACCAATCACATCCTTCCTCCGTGTCCCCTTACAAGGTTCTCTCCATTGTCCCAGATCTGCCCCAGACACTCATGTGTGTCCTGAGTCTTAGAGTTTGTTGATATCATGAACCTGTTATCCAGGGTTGGATATGATTTGTTGACATTGTGTCTTCATATTTCCTGGTCCTTGGTAGGGTACTTGGCACACAGTAGGTCCACTAGAGATGCTGGGAGCAGAAGGGGTGGTGGGCACATGATGAGTCTTCTGTAGATGACCGTCTTTTTCAAATGCCTCCTTTCTGAGGTATGTATTGATAGTTGTTACATATGACCAAATCTCTTCTACCACCCACCACTTCATGTTTTTGATGTCATCAACTTGCAGTTATTAAATGAGAAATAAAGCTAACTGTGGCGTTCCTATTTCGTGTCACTAGAACTTTCTCACAGTGAGAAGCCTAGGGTCATCATCTTTAGTTGAGAAAACGGAGAATCATATATTCCATATTAGTTGCCTAGTAATTGTTAACCCAAATCTGTCTGCAGCCAATACCCCTTCATTACATAGTATTGTGTCACATGGCCTGGAACCCTATCTCCCCGGCTGCACTTAGAGCTTTCTGGGTTTGTGTTGACACACTATTAAATTCCAAAAGTCAAACTCAGTGTAAAGCATCTTCATAACTAGTGGCTGAATTAATTGAAGGATGGTTGAAAACATGGGTAACTGTTCCTTTATTGAAGCAACATGGAGAACTGCTACCAAAAAAACCAACAGATGCCTCTGTCCACTTTTCACCAGCACCTACAAATTACTCAGATACCCAGTTGACTTCTACATGTAACCAATAAGGCCCAACTAGTAACCTGCCTCTCCTCCCATAGCAAGATCCCAGGAAGCCTTCCCGGAGATCCACCAAAAGGAGAAAGAGGACCATAGCAGACGAGTCTGCTGAGAATGTCATCGACTGGTGGTCCAAGTATGACGCCTCCCTAAAGAAAGCACAGAAGGTAGGGTCTCCTCTGTGACAGCTGAGGGACTCGGGGAACAAAGCATCCTCTCCCTCCTCCATCAAGGCCATGCTTCTCCCGTTAAATTTCAGTATGGAGAGCCTCAGGGCTTACACACGATCCTGTCTGGCATTCCACTGTGGTCTGCTCAACTTATCAGAGGCTGAACTCTTAGAGAAACCTGATTCTTGCTCTCCTACCTGCTAACAGTTGCTCCTCAGGGGAAGAACTTGAGGCTCAAATTCTCTCTCCATGGAGTTGGTATGGCTTGGGCTTGTGTGAGCTGTCACATATGTCCCTATGTGCAGCTGCCCTGTCATGTCCAGAAGACACGCTTTTCTTGTGGTTGTCACCTACCACCTTGTACGCTATTATGCTCTCTTCCGCGATGATCCCTGAGCCTTTGAAGGAGGGGCAGGACAAATGGCCTGTAGAGCTGAACCTCCGAGGCATCACACAGGGAAAAAGACACAAAGCTGGGTGGGAAGGGGAGGGGACACAGATCTGGACAGCGCTGGGTCAGGGGCGAATCAAAACTCATTGTATGAGGTCATCAAAGAACTAATTTTACAAAGATCAACTTTTAGAGGTGTGGTTCTGTTAAATGCAGAAGGGGGAAAACCAGAAGCCTGGTGTCCTGATGACAAGATCTCACGCTCCTGCTGCAGCTGGTGTAGTGCATAAGCTCTGCTGGAAACCCTCGACGGATATTCAGTATAGTCAGTGTACTCGGGCTATGACCCCTGGGAGACTTAGGGAGGTCAAGAAAGAAAAGAGGAGTCTCAACTTAGCATCAGTGGCAGGCAACACCCAGGCCAGAGAGCACCAGGGCTCCAGCAGGAGTCTACATTTGTAGGGGAAGTGATCCAAGTAAAGGAAGGTCTTGGCATAGCAAATAGCAACAATTGGCCAGGTGCCAGAGGAACCACACAGCCCCATGCACATGGGCTAAGACAGGGATCAGGTCACAACGCCGGAGAGCCTCGGGGAATGGGCCTGGAAATTCAGGTTAAAGCTCGGGAACGGATTTATTAAGATTTAGCAACACTGAGTTAAAAAGGAAGTAAGAATTGGACACATGCTACCAGAGCTGAGACTGTTTGGAATCTGTAGTTTAGAGACTTGATTTTCATTTAGGACTACTCAAAACCGGCACACCGAGAACTAACAAATCAGACACTAACCCCTGCCTCCACCAGTTTCCTTCTGCTGGATGGATGTTTCCCCTTCCTGTGAACAGTTAACCCTTTGCTGGTTCTCTGCTACCCTCCTTAACCCCTGGTACCCACCCAAGGCCCCAGCATACCAGCAGGGAGAACTCAGAGGGCAGGCTGCTGGGGTGCCCCAGGAATGGAAAATAGATTTGTCCTCCCTGTAGCTGAGAAGAGCCTGTCCCAGGGAACACTGATCTCCACCTTGGTGACACTATTGTTGGATGCACAGAAACATATTTTCTAGGGTTGGGACATCACCACTGCAGTTAAAAGCCATGTCTTCACAGTGTCTTCATGCTGGAGACTTCTTAGGGACTGTTTTAATATTCTTACAGTGGCATTCCTGGGGACACAGAGAGTCGGGATAATCAAATTAGAGCTGTTAGCACTTAGTAAATTAGACATAGCAGTGTCAATAATCTTATTTACTTTTTTTTTTTAAGGAAAAAGAGACCAACCCCAAGGAGAAAGGGGCTGCGGGTGAGTGGCTATTGGGCAGGGGTGGGGGTGGGGCAGGGTGGGGTGGGGTGGGGGTGGGGAGTTCTTGGATGCCTACCGGGTCCACTAAAGTAAGAATATAAGTGGAACTCATGGGAGAGGTGCTGTAGTTCAGCTCCATCATTTACATGTAGAAGATGACAACACGAAGGTCTTCCAGAGATTTGGTGGATAGAACCTGTGTGGCGTGCTTTGGGTTGAGTCCCACAGTACCAGAAAGGAAAGTCTTACAGATACTGTAGCTGAACTGGCCTGCAACTCAGATTAATATCTGGAACTGACTCACTTGTGTCCAGTGCAGAGATTTCACGTAGAAGGAGCAGATTAAAAATAGGATCAAGCTAGAAGCACAGGTCCAAACCAACAAGATAAAAGCAAATAGTGCTGAGTGGAAAGATCTGGATTAGGGATCCAAAATGCACTTTGCATGGGTTGGTTAGGTCTGATTTGGCAGAAGTCCAACAAAAGGGAGCTCAGTTCAAGTCACAGTCTAACTACAGCAGTAACAGCAAGCAGCCAAGAATGTTTCAGATGGCGTGGTCATATGCACACACGCATGCACTTACACCCCTGAGACACATGTGTGTGTGTGTGCGCGCGCGCGCGCACACACACACACACACACACACACACACACACACACACACACATCACGCACATTCCTGAGAGCCTGGCTCCTAACTAACACGTTTCATTTCCTGTTCCTCCTAAGACCAGCCATCTCCAATGGCATTTCCATCGCACTCATGATGAGACAGAGATACAAAGAGGTCAAGTTACTCTTCCAAGGTCACATAGCTAGAAATAGCAGAGCTCAACACCCATCTCTAGTCATTTTTTTTGTTTTATGAGACAGGGTTTCTCTGTATTGTTTTGGAGGCTGTCGGTCAAGCCTGGCCTCAAACTCACAGAGATCCGCCTGCCTCTGCCTCCCGAGTGCTGGGATTAAAGGCGTGCACCACCACCGCCCGGCAACATCTCTAGTCATTTTTACTTCACATAATGCTGCTAAGATTTTACTAAATAATGTTATTAGCATGACCTCATACAAGACTCTTACCATATTTGAGCCTCATGTTGAACTAGATGACTCTCAAGACCCTGAGGACATTTGAGAAGAAAGGTAGCAAAAAGCCTTAGAACTATCCAAATCTGGGGTCTTTTCTCTTCTAGCCGGGGAGGGAAGAGCAAATAATGCACCTTCTCTGGCCCACTTAACACTTTGCCTGGCCCTAGGTAGCCACCAACACTGCATTTACACTGATATGAACTTCAGAGCTGTATGTCATAACCCTGCAGTTAACAATTCTCTAACAACTTCTGACGAATACCCACAGAGACCAAGCCAGATGAGGTGGTGTTGGATATAGATGATGGCCCCAAAAAGAAGAGAGACAAAATGCGCAAGAAGAAGCTGAAAGATGAAGGAAACGACGGGATCCCAAACCTGGCCGTCTTGAAGGTCTGTGGGCCCAAGGCCCAGCATGGGTGGGTGCAGAGCTCAGCTCCAGGCTTCTCTTGGCACCTTGGTCGCCTGTAGTGACCCCTTTATGAACTGACTCATGCTGTTTTTATTATAGGCACTGATGTGGGGAAATAAAATCTAGCATGCATGTAAACCAAGGCAAGGAAGCTTGCTTGGTTTCTTTCTCCATAGCTCCATATTCAGAAAGGGGATAATATACTGTGTTTAGCTTCAACCTGCGGGGGGGGGGTGATTTACAGTGTAAAAGTTCCCTTCAACTCCTCCTGGAGCACTGTTTAGCATGCACACTCAAAATAGCAGGAGCATTAACTAAAGTCAGCTCCATCAGACCAATCTTCCTATTAGCGAGAGGACATTAGCTGGAGGCATGTGTACGGTTGTGAAAATTTGAAGAACAGCAATTACTTATGTAGATATCACCCATTTATGTGGGTGAATAATTTTGAGAGGAAATTTGAATGAGTATTTAATTATATTTCTAAACCCCAAATTGAATTCTACTTTGCATTTCTGAAGTCTGTACATTATTTCCCCCTTGGAAAATTCATGTCTGCATGTATTATAATAAAAACAAACATTCTGCCATTTTAAATGTGCTAAGAATTAATAAATATTAATAATTTCAATGTCCCCAAAGTACTTCAGTCTGTATTTAATGGCCAATAACATCAATTAGGCATAAAAGGGTTGTTGTGTTTATGCCTATACATTTGAAAATGTTTTGTGGGCTGGAAAGACAGCTCTGTGGTTAACAAAACTTGCTGCTCTTGCAGAGGACTTGAGTTTGCTTCCCAAAACCTACCTGGGAGCTCACAACCATCTATAATTCCAGTTTTAGGGCTTCTGACACCTCTCTGGCCTCCACAGGCACTAGGTATACACGTAGTGCACATACATGCATGAAGGCAAAACACTCATACACATAAAAATAAATGTAAATAATGCTTGAAAATGTTTTCAGTTGGCTATGCTTCTTGGAATTGAAATTTTTATGCAAAGGGATTTTATAAAATTCATAATAGTTAGCTTTAGGAGTGTTTAGCCAAATATTTTCCTTATCTTGCTAAAGATAAATCAACAACAGTCATTTACCTTTCCCCTGGGGCACATTTTAAGGCCAGTTTTTGAGAATTCTGGTCTTTCTCATTAAACCCACACTAAACCTTTTGTATTAGGTCTTTTTGCACAGCTCTGGTCTAAGTACATGAGGACTACTTGGGGGAAGGGCTCACTTGGGCTCAGGGTTTCAGAAGATTCAGCCCATGCATGCTCTGCCTGTGTGCTTGGACAGATAGATCATCATGGTGTCAGGGTGTGTAGTAGTGGACTAACAGGAAACAGAGACGATGACTCTGATGAGCCTCAGAAGACCAGAATGCTGGCATGTAGTCAATAAAGGCTGTCCTCATGAAGGTTCAGATGGGAACAAGGACCCTACTGGGGGCTGAGCCAGAGGCCATTCCTGTTATATCCTGGTGAAGAATTTGTCTGTATTTGGTCTGCTTTCAAACTCTGAATGAGAATGAGTTTAAAGGTGATCGAGTAATTAACCTTCCATCCTCTCAGTATAATCTCCTTTCTCTCTAAAGATATACGATGGAGACCTTGAGAGTGAATTTAACAATTTTGAAGACTGGGTGAAGACCTTTGAACTCTTGAGAGGCAAATCTACAGAAGACGATCACGGTCTGGATGGGGACCGAGTCATAGGGAAGTTCAAGGCAGGTTCCTGGTGGACCCCATCCTCTGTCTCTGTCCATCAATGTCAGCTGTCACTCAATTCTAACAGTGGGTTGTGATATGGGACACAGGAACTGGGAGGATCCTTAGTGCCCACCCAGCACCTCCTCTGAAACCCCGCAAGGTCCAGCCACAGTCTTTGGAGACACTTCTGATGAGTGGCCAGTGGGCTAAACTCACTCTATGTAATGTAAGAAAACACAGTCACTGCCCATAAGGAACTCTACAGCACATTAAATACGTGATCTGTGCAGACTCGCCCGCTGAAAAGTTAAGATAAATCAAGCAATACAAACCCTTCATTGGTCAGACTTGGGGTTTCAGTATCACAAAACAGTCATTAGTATCTGTAGTTCACTGCCATGTGCTGGGTCTTTAATACCCTAGGTGACTCGGTTGGCCAACCTGGATTTAAATCCGGTTTATTATAGCAGCTCCAACAATATACTTGACCTCCCAGAGCTTCAGCTGCTGTATCTGGAAGGAGGAATACTGTACTCGGGACAGAGGGGGACAGAGAGGGACAGTAGGGAAGCCTGGGCATAGCATTCCACAGGTAAAGAGCCCTCAGATCCCACCTGTCACACTCCTCGAGTGATGGCCCTGTGACGGGAGCATTAGCATACTGACCCCACCCACTAGCATGCCAGGAGTAAGTGCTGAGGCAGGGCAGCTCGTATAAACTGACAAGGACGCCCTCTCCCTGTGACAAAGGGTGGCATTAGCCCATGTCCCTCAGACACATGGGCTGTGTTCATTTGCCCAGCGCTGGGCTCGCTGTGGTTTTTCGTGGGTAATATGACAGTTCTGTTTTCTAGCTTATGTTCTATGGTTCCAGGGCTCCTTCTGCATCTACAAAAGCCCAGAGGAGTCTGCCTCAGAGGACAGTGGGCAGCTGAGAATCCAACAAGGGATCCCACCCAATCAGCCCATCGAAGTGTTGATCAGGGTGTACATTGTTGCGGTAAGCCGTCCCCCCTTTGGTCTAAGTGGGTGGGTTAGCTTTACCCATACAAACATCACAAACGGGGCTTAAACAATGGAAATGTATTTATCACGATTCTGGGACTGTAAATCCATGATTACCTGGTGGTGTCGGTGTCTGGTGGAACCTCTCCTGAGGGCTTGTTTGTAGGTGTGTGTCTCCTTACTGTGTCTTCACATGACCGTGCCTCTGGGACGTGGAAGGAGAAAGAGCAATGTCTGAAATCTACAGCTCCACTCCTGGGACATGGCTGATTTTAGTCACCTGCCTACTACTGTGACACTATAACCAGCCATGGGTCCCACACAGTTAGGCCTCACCATATGTATGCAGTTAGAAGCGTCCAGATCAGTCCATTACAGGGCATGAAGGCTGATCACTTCCTGGCACACAGGACTCATCTGAGAAGTTTTATCAGCTGTTATTATAGTCTACCAGCATTGTCTGAAGCCAAAAGCAGAAGTAGGACACCCACAGGGAAGACGGCAAGAGGAAGAGCCCGGGAGAGACACCTAGAACCCAACAGGGCAATGAAGCTCCCCCAGTGACGCAATACTGCCATTAGAAGTTTCGTTTGGAATGCATTAAAACAAAAATCTCTCAAAACATTATGTTCTCTAGGCTTCCCTTTTTGATAACGGGTCACAAAACTTTAATTATAAAACTTTTTGGCTTACATGATGTTCAACTGTCCAAATCCTCATGGGTCGTGGATTTTTTTTCAGCTTGTTGCTTGGATTTAATTTCCATGATTGTCTTTTATTGTAGTTTTCTTATTCAGTGCTGCCTCTCCTCATGTTACTTATATAATTTGTAAGGAGCATTAACAAAGCAAAAAAAAAAAAAACAAATTGCCAGATGCGATGATACAAGCCCTTAGTACCAGCACTCAGGAATCAGGGTTCCATGCAGAGAGTTCCAGGCCCACCTGGCTCACATAGAGAGTTCCAGACCCACCTGGCCCATGCAGAGAGCTCTAGACCCACCTGGCCCATGTAAGAGAGGTCCAGGCCCACCTGGCTCATATAAGAGAGGTCTAGGCCCACCTGGCTCACACAGAGAGTTCCAAACCCACCTGGCCCATGTAAGAGAGTTCCAGGCCCACCTGGCTCACACAGAGAGTTCCAGACCCACCTGGCCCATGTAAGAGAGTTCCAGGCCCACCTGGCTCACACAGAGAGTTCCAGACCCACCTGGCCCATGTAAGAGAGGTCCAGGCCCACCTGGCTCATATAAGAGAGGTCTAGGCCCACCTGGCTCACACAGAGAGTTCCAAACCCACCTGGCCCATGTAAGAGAGTTCCAGGCCCACCTGGCTCACACAGAGAGTTCCAGACCCACCTGGCCCATGTAAGAGAGTTCCAGGCCCACCTGGCTCACACAGAGAGTTCCAGACCCACCTGGCCCATGTAAGAGAGGTCCAGGCCCACCTGGCTCACACAGAGAGTTCCAGGCTAGCCAAGCACACGGTGAGACCCTGTCTCAGGAAGGAAACAAAATGTAACTGGAAGAGAAAACTAACTGTCCTTTCATTGCGCCCTGCTTGGGTGTCCTTCTCTCCTCAGGATCACCGCACAGCCACGTGTGTCTGTGTGACGGAGTCTTGTCCTCCAAAGGCTAGAGAGGGTGGCCGTGCTTATGCTAAACCTTAGACAATGCTGGTAGACTATAATAAATGCCTGCCTACGGGCTGCTCTACAATAGCCTTTTCATAGTGTTATCCAGGAAGCTCCTGGTGTCCTGGGAGATAATTAACACACATTGTGTGTCAAGAAACACAATGCATGTTCAAGTAAATATGAGGTATATTGTGTTCAAGAATTGATTTTTCTTCTCCAACTCTGGCAGTTCTCAATGTTCACATGAACACTAAAGGCCCAGAGAGTTCGGGAAACAGGCAACTGGGCGGCTAAGTCCTGTGCACTGTCTCCATGCCCCCCCCCCCGCCTTTCCTCCCACTGAGTGACAGTGCTGTGAGACACACCACTCACCGCACCTCTCTTGTCTAGGGCTCTCAATACAAGGGTCAGGGCCGCTGAGAAGCAGGAGAAGCAGGTTCCTGCCTGGAGCAGGGGTGAGCAGCACAGAGGAGGTCTGGTTTGGGCTGCAGTTTGTGGACGTGAAGACTTGAATGAACAGAATAAGAAGACCACAGTCCCGGATCTCATTAGCAACAAAAGTCACTGCAGGACAGAGGGCCAGTGTTTGGCATGGGCCTTGTTAGCGGCGTGACTGTGTGGGTTTTCCTATCACTTGTTGGTACACAATTATCTGGTTATACAATATACTGATTTTTTAAAAGAATTTACCAAACACTAGAGAGTTGTTTAAAAAGTAACTAGAAAATGCATATAGGAAGAAATCAAAGTTCTTCTCTGTGCTCCTCTCATAACACAGACATTATCAGTACATGGACTTCGCTACTTTTAGCGGCCATATGGCATTTTTTTGAGTGGCTATAGTATCGCTTTTGAGAAGACCCTGTTCAGTGTCCTTGAGATACAGTAACAAGCAGGACAGTACTCTCATTCTCATGGAGGACACATGCTGGCTCCAAGTAGTTTGAGAACCCGGAAGTATTAAAAATAGACAAAGGAACACAGTGGACAGGTTGTATCAGAGTTCCCTGCTGCACAGAGAGTAAAACGTCAGTGATTCCACAAGGAAAAACAGAGGAGCAGCCTATTTGGACTGTGCTTTGGCATCTGACCTTTTTACGAATTTTGGATATTAATCAACCTCCAGAGAACACTCTTGAATGCATAGCTCGATCTGCACATCCTGTTCCGTCTCTGGAGACAGTCTGAAATGTGGGGTGTTTCTCAGCTTTCTTCACTACCGAGTTTCTCAATTTTGGTGCCATGTCTTACTGGCCTCCTTCCGTGGCCTTTCCCTTCACGGTGTTCGCTACTGACAGCCCAAGGCCTGGCCATTCTGGAATCAGGCTTCATGATCTGAAACACATCATCATTCAGGGAGCCATGGCCAAAGGCAAGACTCACAGGGTAGTGGCTTCTGGAACCACTGGTGCTGGACATGGTTTTATAGATAGAGCCAGGAACAACGTGGCTTGTCCACGACGACACAGTCACTTAGAACTAGAACATGGGCTCATGTCTTCTGGCACCTGTTCCAATGTGTTCCTCACTGCCATGTTGCTAAGCTCTGGCTTCCTCTGGGCAGATGACAGTAAAGAAAGATGATATCAATATAGTTCTTTTTAGCAGCAAGACTTGGAGGCTAAAGAGGTGTTTCTTCGATTTTGCTGCACTGTAAAAAAAATCTAAGGAGCTTCTAAAAGTCCCAAATCTCAGGACCCAGAAAACCGGAACATCTCCAGATAGAACCTGGCACCCAAGTGTCCCCATGCACAGCCAGGACCACTGGGTCACAGCCATTTCCTTTTTTTCTCCCCAGGCATTTAATCTCAGCCCAGCTGATCCAGATGGCAAATCAGACCCCTACATTGTCCTCAGACTTGGCAAAACAGAAATCAAAGACCGGGACAAATACATCCCCAAACAACTGAATCCAGTGTTCGGAAGGTCGGTGGCCATTCCAGTTGGGTTGTGGTGTCCTTTTCTGCATTGGCGGCTGTGGTATTCCTGGAGGGCTGGGCGAAATGGGGTGCCTGTGGAGGGTGTCTTGGGTAACATACAAGCTGAAGGTTAAACATTGACATGTGCTCTTGATAACAGCCAACCAAATGTCTATGACATGTAGAACATTTTCCTATTTGGGAGTTGGTATGCAGAGATCTTCAGACACATAGTTCTGTAGCAGCATTTCCTAGATCTCAAACTTAAAAGTGCCTTGAAGGGTCGTGGATACCACCTCCCGGTTCCGTATAGAGAGCTTTCTTCTTACAATCAAGACACCTAAGATCCAAAGAGGTTATATTCAAATCCACACAACTCAGAATTAGAGGAAGCTGGGTCAGATGGCTGGCCTTTTGGTCTCCTACTAGAGAGAGTTTTTCCACCATACCACTTTGCCACCCACTTGCAGTCCCGAGGTCCACTGACATCCCCAAGCTGTGTTCTATTTTCCTGCAAATTGTTAAAGTACTCTGTCCGTATGGGATGCTGTAGAACTAGACACAGGAATTTTCTGGTATGTGGCAACAAGTTTTAGAAAGATTTATTTGTTTTATTCATATGTGTGTATGTTTTGCTTACATGTTTGTATGTGCACCACATGTGTACAGTGCCCATGGCATCAGATCCCCTAGAAGTGGACTTACAGATGGTTATGAGCCACCATGCAGGTGCTGGGAACCAAACCCAGGTCCTCTACAAGAGCAACGAGTGCTCTTAACCACTGAGCCATCTCTCCAGACACAACCCATTGACCTTATTGTGACAGAGTATGCATGTTTCCTGCTTGAGTTTGTGCACTGGCTACCGCTGACCTTGGAACTGGAGCCTGGGTTTCACTGTCATGGGTACTCTGTAACCTCATGAAGCTAACTTTGCCTCTGCCTGGAGCTGTAGTGACACCTGACTCTAGACTCCATTGGGAGAATGTGTGAAATGTATATCACAGTCAGTGCAACACACATCCGCCACCGTCCCCCCCCCCCACTGGTTACTTTAGCAATATCTTAAGTATATTTAATTTTGTTTCTTGAGGAGCTGAGAGCACGGGATGAAATCTCCACCAGATGCGTATACGTTCCCACATCCATCTGTATCGCTTCTGAGCCCCATGGTGTTTGATCAGCCCCGGCTTCTTAGATTTTATTGCTGCTGAGGAAATGAGGCAGTAAACGAGCGAGCCTGTCTGGGTTAATGGGAGCGATTAAGTTGACAGTACAGGGGAAGTATGCCCTTGTCTCTCTGATCCAGAGATGACCTTTGCTGCAGTCTGTCACCTACGTAACCACTGCTGCATCTCTGCCCTGACAGCTTCCCAGACGTGATTTAGACTTGCTCTCTCAGCCTCGTTTTATGGCTCTGGAAAGTCGGAGGCCAGTGTGACAGACGCACCTCCCGTCTGCATGCAGCTTCACGGGGCTTCTTTCACTGTCTCTAGGTGTAGATGGTTGGTGGGATGTGTCTTTCATTGTTACTCCAGAATACACATCCCTGCCTCAATCCAGCTGTGCTCCAGAAGGCTGTGTGTCTAACCCGGGGCTTAGGGACGCCCCTCCTGAAGGGAATACCTGCTCTGGTGTTCATGTGAGGATGTCACAGTCCCTGCTGCTAACACCCTGGTTCCTTGGGCTTCTCTCTTTCTCCATCATCACTTCTGGCATAGGGTCACTTGTTTGTGTGTTCATTCACTGACTCCTTCTCTCTACCAGAGGTCAGATCTGTTTGTGCATGAGCGCATGTGGTCAGTGCTACTTCCTCAGCACCTCGGACAGCACTAGTCTGAAAGAGTGAATGAGTGAAAGACTAGGTACACAGACAAAACGTCCTTTGATGGCGAGATCTGATGGGACTCCGGTGCTCTGCATCTTGTTAAAGTTGAGTACCACCACGGTCTTTGGCAGCTCTTCACAGCTCTCAAATTGCTGAACCTGGGTGACTGAAATAGCTCGCTAACTGATGACTCACCTCTGCAGGCCTTGGTCCTAGCTGGGCCTTCATCTGTCCACTTCCCTTGGTTCCCTGATGAACTACACACACACACACACACACACACACACACACACACACACACCACTCATACACGGTTCTCTCTCTCACACACACGCATGCACACACACCACTCATACACGGTTCTCTCTCTCACACACACCACTCATACACGGTTCTCTCTCTCTCTCTTTCTCTCTTTCTCTCTTTCTCTCTCTCTCTCTCTCTCTCTCTCTCTCTCTCTATCACACACACACACACACACACACACAGTTATTAAGAATCCATCCTGGAGCCGGGCGGTGGTGGCGCACGCCTTTAATCCCAGCACTCGGGAGCGGATCTCTGTGAGTTCAAGGCTGGGCTGGACCGACAGCCTCTGAAACAATACAGAGAAACCCTGTCTCGTAAAAACCATAAAAAAAAAGAATCCATCCTGGGTCAGATTCTCTGCCAGTCTGTGACGGCTGAGAGAAAAATGAATGGGGATTATGACACCAGTGAAAGTCCTGTACAAGCTGGAGAAGCGCAGGTCTGAGTTCCAGGTCTAGGGGCGGGAGAACTCCCTGCTGTCTAGTTCCAGGTGAAGGGACTTCTCTTCATGATGTTCTTCTCCAGCTCACAACAGTGCGTGTGACTCCAGCTCAGCTCCTGCCATCTTCTTGTATGCCTCCCCCACTAGACATTGTTCTACGCCCAGGACCTGTCTGTCACATTGTGGCTGTGTGATAAATGCCAGAATAAGAAGTTAGGAAATGAATGAATGAAATAAGGAACTTTGGGAAATCTCTTTGAACCTCTGAATGCCTGCACAGTTTCACTGTCTCAAAGTTTGCTCATTTCATGATCTTTCCTCAAGCAAATACACTTAATGGTATTATCACTGACACCCAACCTGATGCAAGCCTAGGAGTTCCGGGGAGACCAGGAATCCATTGGTCATGCAAACTTTTGGATGACAGCTCAGTAAATTCAGGCAAGGCTAAACAATGAATACAGGTAGATGAGAAGGACCAGAGCCATCACGTCCTCTGTCATTGTTGCCAGGGTCAGTGACGCCCCTATTGAGCCCTTCCTTAATAGCTACCATGGTGACAGCAAAATTCAGTAATGAATGTTGGGTGCTTGCTTCTGATGTACCCCCAGAATAGCCATTGCAATCTAGAAGCCAGGATTTGAAGTCAAAGAAGGCACTGCCATGTTTAACAGAGGAAGAGCACATGAATTTTGTGCCTGTAAAGTCCCACCTGCTCCTTTTAGAACCTGATCTATCAATTATAACCCCTGTGGCTGTAGATTGTCTGTTTATCTCATGGGGGAGGGTAATTGTCTCCTGAACAGGTTGCTGTCTCCGCCACACTAGACTTGGGATCTCATCGCACGTTCTAGGAAGGATAGCTTTACGATTCTCCACTTAGGATCTCTAGGTTTTGGTTTCCTTATCTCCAAACTAGAGGATTGGGATGTAGCTTTCTGGCATGCTTTGTAGTTGAAAGAAATAGCCAGTGTACTCTCTGCAGGCCAAGCGCAAGCCCCAGCAATCAGAGAACGGTAGTCTGTTTTCAAGGCGTGTGGTTTTGCAGAGACAGCCTGCGATTCTCTGTTTCCCCCCAGCAAGGTTTTCTTTTTGAAAACCCCCGCAGGTGTCCCTCCATAAGCAGTAACAGAAAGGCATGGTAACATTCCTACTGGGTCTGAGCTGAAAACCTGGACGTGAAATGTGTGTTTTGGATGATCAACTTTGCATCTAACACCACACAATGTTAGAAAGACACCCTATTTGTTCTCCATACAACAAGGGTGAAAGAGCCTAAGTAACATCCCCGGTGTTTAACAGTCAGAAAGTTCAGGTCCAGAATCAGATAGGAAGTCAGACCAAAGCTCCCAATAAGCAACTCTAAGACATGGTCGGTGAAAAGGCCATCATTGTCTATGGAGATTTGACAACGGAATCAGAAGCTAGGGCTGTACCTGGATAATGAGCGACCCGGATTCCTGTCCATGCTGGCTGAATTGCTGATACAGTCGCGGCATCCACCCAGAGAGTAAGCTATCTAGAAGGAAGCTGGTGAAGCTCCACCCTACCAAACATTGCTGACTCCCAGCTCTCTGCTTGGACGCAGGTCATTTGAGATCCAGGCCACTTTGCCAAAGGAGTCCCTGCTCTCCGTCCTCATCTACGACCATGACATGATCGGGTCGGATGACCTCATCGGGGAGACCAAGATCGACTTGGAGAACCGTTTCTACAGCAAGCACAGAGCCATCTGCGGTTTGCAGAGCCAATACGAGATGTAAGTCCTTTCTCCTGTGGAGACCCGGTTAGCGTCCGGGTCCACAGGCTTGCGGGGATCCAGACCGCGCATGCGTGTATCCATCTCGAGGCAATCAGACCGTATCAGCAGAGCTGGGTTGAGGAGACTACTGTTCATGTCTTCGAGAGCCAGTGGGACTGGGGAAACAGCTCTGTTTTAAGACCCAGGGCAGGTTCTTCAAGAGTAAAGAGCCAGGCTGTGGTGTGGCGTGTATCCACCTGTGGCAGTCAGGATTCCCTGGGGGATGGTGCTCGACCAATGATGGTTAATACAAAGCAAACGTCGTTGCCACATGTGCATAGGACCTGCTGTTTTAAGAGCTTTGTATGGAATATCTCATTGGTTTCCCCAGAACTCGCTGGGGCTGTGTTATCCCACTTTGTAAGTGGAGGAAGAGTGAATCCAAAAGCCTTTACAAAGATTTGCCATTCTGCTTTATTTTTAAATGTAGGCTACCAGCTTGATTTGTTTTTTTAAGTATATTGAATCTGATTATATTTTTTAACAAACTCTTACAAATTATAGCTAGGAAAATATAGACATTTCATTGTAGTTCCATTCTGCAATTCAAAAAAATACTATCCTAAATAGAAATGGAAACTAATTTACATAGTTTGTCACTATAAATAATTTGCAGAAATCACTATTTTGCATAAGTGATAAAATTAAATATTTATGTAAATGTTTTTTCTTATTTACTTTTAGTATTTTTACTATACTACTTCTGAACTTGGATTACACTTTCCATAGTCATTGTTCTTACTTTGTAGCTTAAGTATTTTATGGCTGCCACTTAATATGCTTGAGTCCTTGCTTTACCGGGCCTGTATAGTATTCCATCATACGAACGTGTTATAAGGTGGTAGTGTCAACTGACTTTTGATCTGTAGGACGTGTGACAGTAGCAGTTCCCATTGCGGTAGGCCAGGACTCAGGGGTTGAGTAGGAACCGTGGTCAGCCCTGTCCTATGATCTACTTCTCCAAATCATCGATTTCTTAAAAGACGAAAGGATTGGGGAGACCTAGAGGAGCCCAGCGAGAAAGTCACTGATTAGAAAAACCTTCCTCCGGAGACACGAGTCCGTAAGATGAGTTGTATGAGGGAAGGAGGAGAGACAGTAAGATAATAAGCCGGACTTTCCTCTTAAGTAGCTAAACTTTCAGGGACCCCGCAGCAGCAGCCAAACAGCCTGGTCCAAGCTAATGGAGCTGGGAAGCAAAGGGAGAGTAACTGCAGTCTGGATATAGTCTTTCAGGGAGATGGCAGCTTTTTAAAAGTGCTAGGCAGAAGGAGTGATTGCATGTTATTGTAAATATGTCCAACGTCATTGGACCAGTACACTTCAAGACGATGAATTTTGTTATATGAATTTCATGTCAATGGTTTTTAAAAAGAGTTACCACTTAAAAAAACAAACCTGAAAGTTTCCCACAAACCATTCTTAGGTCAATCTGCCAATCTGCTTGCGAGTCTGTCCTACCTGCAAGCTGTAAGTGGGTGTGAGGGATTGCACAGGTCGCCCTGGAGCGGAGCTTCCCCTGGGGGTCTCAGAGGTGTCCCCTGGAGGGCAGCCAGCCCGCTTCACCTGCCGTTCCTCCACTTCTTAGAGAAGGGTACAACGCCTGGAGGGACACGTCCAAACCCACGGAAATCCTGACCAAGCTCTGCAGAGACAACAAGCTGGACGGGCCGCACTTTCGTCCTGGAAAGATACAGATCGGAAATCAGGTCTTTTCCGGAAAAACTGTCTTCACTGAGGAAGACTCTGGTAAGCCCAGGACAGCGCTCTGCTGTTCTTTATACAAGGGCTGGTTCCAGTGGCGGTGAGACTAGGGGATGCTGGGCATTACAAAAGTAATCGTGCTTCCAGAAGAAAGGGCAGAAAATCAAGTAGGCTCATGACGAGCGCTCACAATGACGAAGTTCTGCTAACTGTTGAGGACTTGTAAATGTGCAAATCAAGCAATAGCAGAAAGTGAATGTCATAGAGTACAAGACACTGGGAACAACCCACTACCCACAAGTGCTGTACCAAACTATCTTATTTTAGGTGGATATTTTTCCATGAGTATCACGGGACATACCCTGGAGATCCCAAAGAAGCTAAAAAAAATTTGGAATAAGGGATGGGGGAAAGCTGGGATGTGTGTGTGTGTGTGTGTGGTGTGTGTGTTTGAGTGTGGGTATGTGTATATGTGTGTTTGGGTGTTTGGATGTGTTATGTGTGTGTTTGGGTGTGGGTATATGTGTATGTGTGTTTGGGTGTTTGGATGTGGTATGTGTGTGTTTGGGTATGTGTGTGTTGTGTGTGTGTGTTTGTGTGTGTGGTGTGTGTGTGGTGTGTGTGTGTGTGGTGTGTGGTGTATGTTTGTATGTGTGTGTGTGTGGTGTGTGTGTGTGGTGTGTGTTTGTATGTGTGTGTGGTGTGTGTGGTATGTGTGTGTGGTGTGTGTGGTGTGTGTGTGTGTATGTATGTCTGTGTGGTGTGTGTGTGTGGTGTGTGGTGTGTGTGTGTAATCCCCACTCCAGGGTGTGACTGCTGTCTCTGTCTTCTTACCAGTCGACTGGTCTCAGGTCTCCATCTCTACATTCAGTCTCTTTCTCTTTCATTCCATGCTACCTCCAGCTCTTCCTGATTTCTATTTTCTTTTGCTCCCATCTCCTAGTATCTTTAGGATGGATGGTTACAGGGAGAACTTAAGATGGCGTCTACAGCCCTCTCTCCTTGGGGGAGCAGCATCTAACGCGCCTCTCTCCTTGTCTTTGCTTCCCACAGAGGAGATGGTGGAGTCTTATGAGCACTTGGCCCTCAAGGTCTTACACTCTTGGGAGGACATCCCTGTGGTTGGGTGCAGGCTGGTTCCTGAGCACATAGAGACACGGCCACTGTACCACAAGGATAAGCCAGGAATGGAACAGGTAGTGCTGTCTGCATCGTTAATGGCAGGACCTAAAGAGTTAGGGTTGGCCACTCATCCTCAGTAGGCAAACCTAACAAAGTCCCAGTGAAAAGCAAAGGAAGATTTGTTAAATGTGTCTACATTGGGGAGACTATCAAAGGGGTCCATTGAACCCCAAAATCTATGTTAAAGACCCTGGAATGACTTTTAGGTTTAGTAGAGTTCAAAAAGTTTCTATACTTAACTAGGCGGTACTGTTTGTTTTGTTTTTCTCGTTTCCATAATTTGAATTGGCAAAGTCCTTTGGAAGAGCGTTGGCATTTGAGACACTTTGAAACTTAACGGATGTGCAAGGATTCAAGAGACAGAGTACATCGAGTGCACAGTGCCATGTCCGCCGCAGAGTAGATGAAGGTGCTCCTGCCCTTCCTCGGCTCTTAGCTCAGGGTTAGTGAATTCTTAATAAAACTGCAAGTTATTCCAGGCACGGTAGCGCATGCCTGTAAGTCACGGTAGTGCATGCCTGTAAGTCATGGTACTGCATGCCTGTAAGTCACAGTAGTGCATGCCTGTAAGTCACATAGTATATGCCTGTAAGTCATGGTAGCACATGCCTGTAAGTCATGGTAGCACATGCCTGTAAGTCACGGTAGTGCATGCCTGTAATTCACGGTAGTATATGCCTGTAAGTCATGGTACTGCATGCCTGTAAGTCATGGTACTGCATGCCTGTAAGTCATGGTACTGCATGCCTGTAAGTCACAGTAGTGCATGCCTGTAAGTCACATAGTATATGCCTGTAAGTCATGGTAGTACATGCCTGTAATTCATGGTAGTACATGCCTGTAAGTCCAGAATTTGGGAGGTAGAAGCAGCTATATCAGGAGTTCCAGGCCAGCTTTAAGTACATAATGTATTCAAGGCCAGCATAGGCTATGTGAAAGTCTGGCTCAAAGAGGGAGGGGGTAAGGGAGAAAGGACAGAAGGGAGGAAGGAAGAAAGGAAGGAAGGAAGGAAGGGAGAGAGGGAGGAAGGGAGGGAGGGAGGGGAAAGCCTCTATCGTTGTTAACAAATTAGGCTGTGTGTACATAAAGACACCAAATCATATCTAACATCCATTTCTTTTAAAGGGATATTTTGAAGCAACGAATGGTCCATTTTCCATTTTTCATGTCCCAGCCTTTCTCAAAGCTAAATGAAATCTTCTTTTGTTGACAAGGGCCGTCTACAGATGTGGGTGGACATGTTTCCCAAAGACACACCTCAGCTTGGACCTCCTGTTGACATTTCACCAAGGAAACCCAAAGGGTAAGTGTGCCCATCCTGACAGAAGGGGACCATGGTCCAAGAATAAAAGGTTATGGCATTTGAGATGAGAGATGATATACTAGCAAACATTCCCACCTCACCTTCCGCCCGGCCAGTGACACTGGATTGTGGTGACAGAGGTGGTTGAAACAGTGGCTTCTGCATCAAGCTCTTCATTTGGACGATGCTGGTCCACAGAAGGAGGAGATACCCTGCCCCACCCACCCCCTTGTGAATCCGAGATCTACAAAGTTCTGACAGGCCAACCTCCAGTGTTGATGCTAATGGACTTGACAGATTCAAGGCTTACAAAGTGCAATGCTTCTTGGCCCCATTTCAAGGTCGTTTACCTAACACTGTGTTCCTCCACCCCAGGTATGAGCTGAGGGTGACCATCTGGAATACCGAAGATGTCATTTTAGAAGATGAGAATATCTTTACGGGTCAAAAATCAAGTGATATTTATGTCAAAGGGTAAGGTCCCCCACAAGTTCCATCCCCCCCCACTTCAGTCTCTAGCCAGTCTGTGTCTCACGGGAACTGCTGCCCACATTCCACAGAAGGACCTGACCTGCTTTAAGTTAGGTAAGGCTGCTTTCTGGG